AAGTCTCTGCTAAAACTGAACGGAGATGGATTTGTGGCTGCAGATTGTTATTAACATTCACGCTGCATAACTTAATCAGATATGAAGACATTCTACGACAGGAGCATATGCCATCAAACGGCCACGCTCCATTTCACTTCGAGGTTTTTGATTCAAGTGTGTCAGCTTGGCAAGACCAAACATTCCTCATGTTCACAGAGCGTCACTGATTTTACTTTACAGGCTTCATTTAGTTCAAAAACAGAGGGCGAAGAAGCTACTGTGCAGGCTTTATGTAAACCAAAGGCAGTAAGCCACACTGAGCAGTCAGCAGAACTGTCAGTGTTTGCCTTTGATTTTTGAGAAAATAGTGCTCGGCACATTGTCTGTTTATGAACAATCATTTTAGATGGATGCCCATAAGAGAGAAGAAGTCAAACATCTTGGATAAAAAGCTAACAGTTGATTTTAGTGGAGAGTTTAGTTGTAGAAAAACACACTTTTAATGACTGAGTGGAGAGTTTTCCATCTAATTGTAATCAGATTCTTTTTTGTCAAATTTACTAGCTTTCATGCATTCCTGTAGCATTCCTACAGGGAGGAAAGACAGAAGCCAGACTCTGAATGAATTATGAAGGATAACTGGCGGTAGTAATGAGTCATGAAAGGAAACCGGTGTGTCCGCTCCCACGTTGAGTTGATCTCCATGCCAACACGTTTCAAAGCCATGTGGTTCACGCCGGACCGAATGAAACCACGAAGCTCGTTTTAATCAATCACTCCAAAAAGCTCAGCGTGCTAACATCAACATCAACCACAGAAACGTCAGAGCAGACCTGCTCCGTCCTCAGCTGGCCTGATTTTACTGATTGGCACGCACACTGTATATGTTTCCTGCTTCGCTTTGTATTGAATTTGAGAGTTTGCCAGAATGAGGCTGTTGATGAGGTTAAATGATGCTGATCATAAACAGACCAGTGAACCATCTGTCAATGCGAGGGACGGATGAGAGGAGCTTTCAGACCCGGTAGCGCTCCTGGCAACGTCTGATTCAGCTTCATATACAGTAGCAGAACAAATAAACATCAAATGAAACTTTTTCTCTGGGAGTTTCATTTCCTCCACTGTGTGCAATTTACAGTTTGACATATGGGAATAATCTGTATTGTTGCTTGCATGTGTTGTGAATTATTATGATAAAACAACTTGATAGCTGCACCATGCAGATGTTTTGAGCAAACAAACCTGATTAAATCTGCCAAACTGGGCTATAAATGGCATTTTTTTCCATAAATGTAACTAAAAAGATAATATGTTGCATTTTTGTTGCAAGAAATACTGGTTTTATTGTCAAAATGTTGAACATAAATCTCTGTTTTTATTTTTACCCTGCAAAAAACACATTTGCACTTCAGATATTTATTATTAATGGCACCAGAATATAATATTTGAGAAAATCTACATAAACACCAATGAACTGAGTGTTTCCTAAATGCTAATTAAGTCACCATAGCTTGCAGCATCACTTGCAACGTAATTACAAAAGGCAGACTGTACTCTGAAAGTTGTTGGATTCATTTCCAAAATCTGCAATTATATTTCTCTTTAAGATGTCCACATTCTTGTTATACGCTCATTATGCCTCAGAAACGCCATCAAACTGTCATAAAACTCACCAGAATAGATGCTGAGAAAGAAGTGACATTTAAAGTCCCTGGAGAGGGGGTAATTATGTTTTATCACACTGGGCATCCCTTAAATAGGTTTGCCTCTCGGCTGGGTCTGTGTTTATTATCCGAGGCCCGGCAGAGAAAGGCACCACTTTACGGTTTATTATTTGGGGTAGCTGTGTTTTGCGCTGTTTATTATGCTGTTTTAATTGCGGTTTGGCTGCTTTCTTTCGCCTCTTCCAATAGAGGGAAAGGAATGCCGGAGGCTGCAGCTGCCCTGCAGGACGTTGGGGTGCGCTGGGAGTCCCGTTGGCCCACTTTTACCCCTGGATTGAGTTTCAGCAATGACAGAGGAATATTTAACGTCCACAGTATAGATTTATTTTCTCGGATTAGTTGGTTCCGGCTTGAAAAAATGAACAGATCTCAAGTGGGATTTGAGGAATCCCGTCAAATTGTTGACCCTTTTAACTCCCAGCAGGTGCCAAACCACCGTCACCTCCCAGCTAACACTTTCCCAGTCCGACACTCAACATCTCACCGAATTACTCCCTCCAATGTTTGTCTAAGAAATGAACCTCCGCCTTCATCCCTGGGGTCTCCCTACATATGGTGCTCCACCTTGCTAAACTCCTTTCTTCGCCTCTGCGATGATTTCTGACTCCAAAACAAAGCAGCATCCCCTGGTTCTTCCCCCGATGAGCTAAATCAAAGCAGGAATGTAAACTCTCACCTGATGTTGGCCTTTAAAGCTTAAATGAACATCCTTCTTTTGATTTGTTCCCCCCAATAGGATCAACTGATAAACTGAAAACAAGGAAATACATGTTGTGCAGATACAAGGCCATTCAAAACTCGGGGCAGAGTTTGTTGATCAGTTATCTACTGCTAAGTAAAATAAATGTAATTCAGTCCACATTCAGAAGGAAAACTGAGCCTCCTAAACCATCTTTGACATTTCAAAAGGTCGATCAGAGACTCAAACGATGCAGAAATAGTGCAGGTTTCAAGCTTCGGGAAAGTATTAGCACCACTTTTACACTTTAAGTTACATTACAACCACAACCTGAATGTATTTTAATTGATAGCTCAATAGAAAGTTGGTCAATCCAGTCATGTTCTGAAAAAAGCAACAGGCATTTGTATTCAGCCTGCTTTCTTTTGATACCACTAATCAGAATCAAATGCAATCTATTACCTCCCAAAGTAGCATAACAGCACTCCACCTGTTTGTGCTTTAATCTCTGCTCCAATTTAAAAAGATGATCTAATTATATATTAAAGGGAACAAACAATTTAATGAAGGGCAGGGAGCATAGCTATCAGGTCAAGGAATAGGTAGTTTTCCAGCAGCCATTGTACGGCGGTAAAACCAGCTGACCAAATGTGCTGGAGCTCAGCTGGGGTTGCTAGGTAACAGGGTTTCTAGGAGAGGAGCACTGCCTGCTAAATGTATCAAAAACATCAACTTCTTGCCAAAAACTGTGGCTTGTTTTTTCTGTGAGTTGTTTTTAGAAGAAGTAGAAACTCAAATGGAAGTAAAACTAAAACATGCAAAATGTGAATTCTTCACAATACATGATCTTTAAAGCAATAACATGTTTATTTTAATTTTTAGCACAGATTTCTGCCTGGTTACTGTTAATAATTGAGTCCCAAGCCATGTTAAGGACTGTTACACTACGTGCCGCCACAAAAAAGCCAAAAATGCATTTGTAAACACTGCGCATCGAGAACAGCAGCACATCTGATTGGATACGCCATCCTCAGAGTGTCACATCTACCCAGAGGATGACGGTGCAATCCAGGAGGATGCAAAAGGTGAAGGTTCATTTTCCAACAGAGTAATGACACTAAACATACATCCAAAGTTTAAGGTCACATGTGTCAAACTTAAGGCCCATGGACCAAATCTGGGCCATCATAGCCCTGTATGTGGGCCTCTAGATTCTAGACTAAACACTAAATGTGCTTCAAATTATGTTATCAATCAAGTCAATGCAGTTTTTATCTGTTTACTGCCAACTTATATTAATCAGTCCCTCCAATTTCTTCAGAATGATCATAAAAATCACGCAAAATCAACAAATACCCGCATTCTTTTGAGCGTTTATTGCAGATTTTTCTCAAAAATTCACAAAAAGTTTTCTACTTGTACTAAACAGCTACCAGTTTAGTCCATGATCTATGCAACGAGTAATAAAAAGTCACATTTACCAACATGAAGTAGCACAAATATCACAAACACTTTGATTTTTATTGCTAAATAAATAAATAAATAAATAAATAAAAAATCACAAAATTATCCTGAAGTCCTTGAGGGACTGAAAAGATGTTCAACAATATTATTTAGTTTTAAATATTTTAACAGTTTGTGAACTGGTTTCATCAAATTTTCTGGCACCGACCCTTTAAGAACATTTATGGTCTTGATTTTACCCAAAACAAAAATGAGTTTTACACCCCGGTTTCAGATCATGAGTTTAAATAATCTAGTCAAGCACAAACTGAAATCTAAGTTAAAAAGTTATGTCAATATATCACCTCTATCAAATCTGAATGAGAATAAAGTATATTTCAAAGAAAAATTGACAAAATATCTGTCTTCAGATGTTGGAAAAACTGCATAAAATCCTTTGCAGTGCTTTGTATTTCCTTTGTTTTCAGTCATTTGTTGTATCAAACTTCTAGGACAAACTATGAGCCGCTTCCTGGTGTCAGACTCAAGGCTGGCTTACATTTGGAATGAAAACATAAGCAGAGCAGCCAGGAGGCATGGAGGGAAAAGAGAGAAAGACAGAATGGAAGAACGTTAGAAGGTCCAGCATGGAGGAACCACAGCATGAAATGTACAGAGAGATCCAACTTCATTCAGCAGCACTTTGCTAACTAGGAGCAGAAACCTGACAGCCACAGCCTCTTTGTTCTGGATTATCCACAGTGAAGTGATGAAAGCTAATCAAACATCTTCTTCCTCACTTCCAAAAGGACTTGAGTGTTAGATCTTTTCATCTAGACGGATTCAAACCAACATGCTCTGATTTCAAGGAAATATTATTAAAATTTCAAGAATCTAATCTACAGAATCAAAACCAGAGGCAGCAGCAGTGCAGAGGCCCACCACCGTGCAGAGAGCTGTGATTAAAGCTCAACTTGGAACAGATTCAGGGAGGTTCTGACAAGCGGCACCGCTTCCCTCAGAGGTCGGAGATTTGGCCGACAACAAGACAAAAGGAAGGGCAGAGTTTGCCTTTAAGACAGGACTTTGATCAGAAAACCAACTGTAAACCTGACATTTTTCATTCTTAGGTAAACAGATACGCTGATGACGAACGGGTTTATTTTTCTTACCTCCAAAGGGAAGGAAAACTCTTGGCACAGGCTGAGGTAAGCTGGAGACGGAGCTGATGAGGAAGAAGAGAGCAAGGAGGGAAAACACCATCGCTGACAGCAGAGGCGACCCAGCCGACCCCTCCGGCCCGCCGACGTCTTCACCTCTCAGAGAACGACCCGCCACCGCAGTCTGCAGGAGAGGTTTCACAGAGGACAAGAAGTCTGAGAAAACGATTTGATAACGCAGAGATTACGTGTAATATTCTCAAACATCTAATTTCTGCTCAATTATATGGCACCAATTGTGGCAAAAACATATTTTTTCACTTTTTTTGAAGCAATATGTAATAAAGTGTGCGAATGTCTGCATGAATGACTGATTTAATTGTCTAAGCAATAAGTATTCAAGTCTGACGTTTTATTTCAAATACAACTAATATAAACAGAACTATGAAAAAATTATTCAGTCCTTAGATTGGCTTTTGTAACCTGTCTTAAGGTCTTCAAACGAGTAAATAAATTCTTGATATTTTATTTATGAACAAAAAGCCAATCCAAAACATCTAATTGCAGTTGAAAATATATTTTCCCAATCAATAAAATCATAAATGAACTCTAATCAACACTTTTTTGCTTCAATGACAACAGAACCTGACTAACGAACTCCTAACCCAATTTAAAGAACCCAAACAAAAGAAATTCATTTATTTTTATTCACTGAACTAAAATAGCCACAAGATAAGAATAAAACCCACATCTACTGTAAAACAGGTTGAAATGTTTGGCATTATTTCAATGTGACTTGATAGTAATAAAGAAATCTACAAAGATGAGGAGGCAAAAACCATCGAAAGCAAAGTCAAACTTCTGTCAACATCTTCATTTTCTGTTTTGAAACAGACATTTCTAGCAGAGTTTGTCAATAAACTGCAGCATGTTGTATATTTTTATAAAGCGTACTTTCTAAAAGGGTCAAGGGTCGGCTCTAGAGAAGGTCTATTTAGAAGCTGCAGGGGGAAGAAAGGTTCTTGTCCGCTGGTTAAACCAGAGTGTCTTGGAACGGTGCAGAACAGCAAACAGCCGATAAAACAGAACAAATCAGAGACATTTATACTGAACTGACCATTTTAACCGTTCCTGGTGTGTTCTGGACAGACAAATTTAGCCAAAAACTCAGTAGAACATCATGTCACTGACTTTACCGTGTTCCAAATGTACCACTGTTAAATATGGATGAGGCAAATCTACACAAAAAGAAAAACAGCTGAAGAAGCGCTCCAGCTGCTACTTGTTCCTTCTCCATAACTGGACAAGAGCAGCTCAATTATTGATGGATGCAGGATCTGCTCTGCTCTGCGCTGTGGGCCGTTATCCCCTGCAGTGCATAACTCTTGAGTTGCAGAAAGAATCGCCTGCTACAGCACCTGTGTTGTACAAACCCACACTGCACCAGTGACCTTCCTGCATGCAAAAAAACAAGAAATATGCATTATTTACCGCGGTCTGAATCTCTGACCTCATGACTTATGAATGTGTGGTGAAAAAATAATGACATGAGAAAAGAAAGGTACATGATTGCAATAAAAATTTTAGTTTGGGGGTGTTGTAAACAAATAGGTGGAGGCGTGTGTTTGCGTAGTGAAGTGAATGATGATTGATGGAGAGCCGGAGTGGAGTTTAACTGTTCAGGTGCAACATATGGAAAACTGATGAGGAATGAGATCTTTTTGGCTCAACTTGAGAGCAGTAAAGCAACACGGGGCGCATTAAAACTGCTGCAGGGCTTACAGCGCAGCGTCAGCTACACACACACACACACACACACACACACACACACACACACACACACACACACACACACACACACACACACACACACACACACCGAGTACCTACCCCAACCCACAGCTTGACCGTGCCGCAAAACTAATGCATTTTTGTTTATGCATTTTGAGACTTAACTGTGAAATGTGACGGTTTTTATAAACATGCACTCTATTAGCAATACTTTAATCGACCAAAGTTACCAAATTGGCCATAATTATTATGATTGGCTGCTGATTATGATTTTATGATAAATATATAAATATGAAGCCCATATCCTTGCTGAAAAGTTACTAAAAGGCAAGTTAGTTTTGTCTTATTTCAAGTGCAATAAGATGTTTTAACTGAAATATGATTGGTAAGATTTTGGGCTTTTCCAGTGTGCAGAGACTTACAGAATACAGAAGGCAGCAAGAGTGAAACCCAGCAGAGAAACTGAGAAAATGAAATACTGGACAGGATGATCACTGGATCAGGAGCAGGTGGTTGATTAGAAACTCGGTGCAGCTGTGACAGATAACCAACGCTGAGCAGAGTAGATGGGAGAAACCAAACACCAAAGTAAAGCAAAACCCCAAAATAAAGTTTCAGTTATTCTAATGGGGAGCAGAATCCCTGTGAACAACATAACAGTATGGAAAACAAAGCAGACACATTCCTTTCAGGCATGCAGCATCAAAACAGTGCAACAGCATCTAAACATGCAACCGCATCGAAACAATGCAACAGCATCGAAACAGTGCAACAGCATCGAAACAATGCAACAGCATCGAAACAATGCAACAGCATCGAAACAGTGGAACAGCATCGAAACAATGCAACAGCATCGAAACAATGCAACAGCATCGAAACAGTGGAACAGCATTGAAACAGTGCAACAGCATCGAAACAGTGCAACAGCATCTGGAGGATAAAATCTGCATCTTCAAACAGCATCAAAACAGGTTTAACTCCAGTAATAATGGACAAACTATGCAAAAACACAAAACCGTACCAAGTATTTCCAGACTAGTTTTTAGTACAGATTTCTGAAATGAGACAAAACTAAGATATAATAAATAGTTTTTTTAATATTTATGTAAATATACTAACTCCACAGTTAATTATTTCAGTCGTACTTTTCTAGCAATATTAAAGAATTGACTAAAAACTATTTCCTATATCTTGCTGAAACTTGTCAGTCTAGAAAAACTAGACAAAAAATCCTTAAGATTTTGTGTTTCTGCATGTTTGCTCATTATTACTCGTCTCGTTTTTAGTTCGCTTGTAATAAGACAAAATAACTTATAAGAGGTAAAACTGCCTCGTTATAAGTAAAATAACTGCTAGTGGACAAGTATGTTTTCATTAATATTAAAGAATTATTGACTATGCTGAAAAGTTACTTATAACTCAGTTTTGCCTTACTTTATGTTTGCACTTGAAACTAGATTGTGTTTTTGTAGTGAAAGGCATTTATTTGAGATATTTTACGTAAAGCGATCCTCTGAACTGTCGAGCCCTGACACCTACCACTCCCTGCTCACTCAGAGAGACGCTGATCTCCCCGCGAGAGCGTCTGGCATTGAAATGTTGGTCTCACAGCTGCTGAACTCATCATGGTGGGAGTTCATCTGACATCCCGCCAGCTCCAGTTCGGACACTTTCACCTCACATCAGCAGGCATGAATGAGGTCCTGAAGGCACCGCCGATAAAAGGTGCGTTACCGTTTGAGCAAAAATAATAAATACTCCAATTAGTTTTCAGCCAAAAACTCCAGCGCGAGTCTGCCATGAATCTCTGCGTCTATGCACAAAGGAGATTGCTGCTGCGATGGATGTTGTGTTTTCTCCGGAGGGTGATGATAATTGTGTTTATTATCTTCTGTCCTTGGCTTTCAGCCCAATGAGTTTTCCATCAGAGGAGCCGCTCATAAACCCATATTGTGGAAGACAAATTCCTTTGCAGCATAGATCTTTGTTTCCAGGGATCCCATCTGCTCCCAGTTATGTTTTTGTACAATTCAGGGCATTTTTGTGCGTGAAGAATTGAACTTTCAGTGGTAAACAAGTTGCTCTGTGTCCGGGCTCTAACAGGACAGCGCGTGTTCGTTCCACACCCTGTCAGTCAGTTGTCAGTGGGGTTGTTGCAGCCGCACGCGCCTTTAAACTCATGACTGAGCAGCAGCTAAGGTTATATGTTCAAGCTTTCTTTCATATCAACTGATTAGGTAACTTGTTTAGTAATAAAAACAGTAAAGGTTTGATTGTGTGTCTTCAGAAGACCTTTGAAAAGGTCACAATTCTGTGGCCAAGCAGTGAGTCATTCTGGAAAATCCTACTGCGTTTAAATATGAAACAGGACTCCGATGTTTAAAAGAAGCACAAAGTGATTCTATCTCAGTCAGATTAAGTTTTATTTCCCAGTGGTGGGACTCTGCACCTGTTCGCCCGCGGCACACCAACTTCCCTCTGCATCCAACAGGAAACGACACACCGCAGAGCAGAAGCCCTCAGAGTAAAGGTCCAGGAAGACGGACTCACCTTCCAGGGAAGAGCCTGTCCCAACCGCAGAGAGGCAAACGAGACCCGCGCTTATCCTGAAACGCCTCGCTTCAAGTCTCCAACACTGACAGGAAGATTTCCATCCAAGTGCTCAGAGAGCAGGTTTGACTGAGCCAGAACAGGACAGAGGAGAGGGAAGAGGGAGGAGGAGGAGGAGAATGAAGAGACGAGTGAGCCGGTGTCCTATTACACTCTCCGCTCATGGCCCCCTCCTCTTTTCCTCCTCCTTTCCTCCCTCTTTCCTCCCTCCTTCCTCACTAGAGAGCAAACAGATCACTTTAACAGCCCGAAGCATCAGAGAAGGACCCAAACCTCACACAGTGATGGTGAGGCATCACAGGTCACATGCATCCATTAGGCTTTTAATCTGCAAGACTGTCCGAAAAAAAAAAAAATCACCTGATTTTAGTCAAATTATCATTTCTGGTCTGTTTTTCTGTCAATCAAGTTAAAGCACATTTCAGCAGCAGGGCAGTTCAGGGCATTTTATGTAAGAAAAACACAAAATTACAAAGTTATTAAACAAAGCCTTGAACAAACAGCTCATTTTAATGTGTCCTGTCAATAAAATCACACGTTAAATATGTTGGTTAATGTTTCATCTTCATTTCTGGTATATTAGTAAATTATGATGCATTGAAAAGTCTATTTGGTGAAGCTATTTTTTCCTTATTCCAACAAAACTAGATTGTTTTATTCTTGAGGCAAAATAATGTGTTTCCTAAATGCCAGAATATAGAAACATTTTAAATCCACATTTTCCACCGCTTTGCACAGCTGAGAGGTTGCCATGAAGATTAAAAGACTTCTCATTGCAACATTACAACATGATGTAAAGCTCAAAAAAGTCAATTTTAGATAATAAAATGCTTCTGATACAAGTAGCTGCTCCCAAATTTAAGAATCCGCCATGTTTTTTTGACATTGTTAGCATATCAAAAAAAGTGTTGCGCACATTTGTAATGAAAATCCACCGCCATCTTTGAGTCCAGTATTAAAGACTTGAGAAGTCTCCTTTTGGAAGAAGCTTTATCGTTTAAATGAAGGCAAATGATCACACTAGCTTGTGCATGTTAAAGATTATGGATGAACGTTGCAGGACTTGGTATCTTGGCTCCAAACTAAGACATTTTGCTTCACTCACGCATTCTTTCTTAAACCAGAGTTTTAATTTGAAAGGCTTTCCCTCAAAGGAAGGATGGATTTCATGACTGGAATAAATAAAATAGATTTTTTTTGGCTCCATTGTGGTCTTCTTGGTGGAAGGGAAATGCTGAAACCAGGAGAATGCATCTCAAAGTGTGGAGGAGAGACCCAGTGATGACTGGAAAAACACACGGCTGAAACAAACGTACAGTTAGCATATTTTCTATGAATGAGCTCACCAAGGAGACCTTGCTCAGCTATACTAAGTCAGTAAGCCATGCCAAACCTGCGGCAGCATTAGTTTTTGGACGGATTTTGTGGATTCAGCTGAAGCAGAACCGTTGTAAACCAGGCCTGTCCTCCATCCATATTTCCATTTAATCAAAAGCTCTTTGCAGATTTTCCTTCTTCACTGTGTGCGCATGTATTTGTGTCGCTGCAGGTATAAGCAAGGATTTTTTTTAGCTTTCAGGGAAGGTTTGTGGAAAATAAAGCAGTAAGAAAACAAACACCAGATCTGTAATGAAAGTGTCTGACAGCCAGAAAAAAATGAAGCTGAAGGAGGAGGAAAGAGGGGATCACTGGTGGCTCAGCCAGGAGGAAATAATTACCCCTCTCCTGCACAAAGGATCCAGATTTACGCCTCTCCAATTAAAGTGTCAGGATGGGACCACTGGAGCGACGGCGGCGTTTTCATTGGTACGTGAAACCTCGATTGCTTTATCCTCATAGGTGGAGAAGGAGAAGAAAGGAAAGAGTGGGTGAGTGCAAAATTGAGATCAAGCGTATCCTTTACAGCCCCCATGACACAAACTGGGCTGTAAGTTAATTTAATGAGAGCGGTGAGGTAACGGACTCAGGTGCATCCAGACATAAAGCACAGCTACTCAGAAACCCGCTTGACAGTTAGCCATCATATAATATCTTTATTTGGTTACAAGTTTTAGGGTTTTACTCTCAAATAACATTTCCAGTCAGTTGGGTTGTTTCAGTCTGTGCAGCTTTGTGGATTTTGAGTTTGCAAAGCATAAAATTCTGTTCCTAATTAATGTCTTTGTCAGCCACGCGCACCACTTTGAAGAAGCTGCCCCTCGTTAGCAGAGCAGATGTTACGCATTTGTCACAAGGAAACCAAAAGTCAGAAGAAGGCCTCCCTCCTGCAAAGCTGACTGTTTCACAAGCAGTTTAACAACTTAAAATATCAACAAAAGATTGCATTTCATTGAAATGTGTCTCCACTTCTGCAGAAACGTGTTTTCATTTTTTTCTTTTTGAGCAGTGGGATCGGGAGCCGTCAACCACCAAGATGCGAACAGTTCCCCGAAAAAGGTCACCAATTCTTTGCAACCAAGAGACACAAGACAACCATGGAGACAAAGACTCTATGGGAACCATCAAATGTTAACTGTTTAAATATCAATGAATTCTTAAAATTAAATATTACTGAACATATTTTCAGTCTCTCCAGGATTTTGTGATAATTTGCAGTGTTTCTGGTACTAATTTCGAGATATTTGCGATAATTATGTTGGTAAATGTAACAGAATGAAAAAAGTGTGGGGATTTGGTGATTTCCTTTCTAAATTTCCACAATAATTCAAGAAACTGAAGGGACTGATTTGTATAATTTGGTTAGTAAATGAATAAAAACCGCATTGATTTGATTGGTAACATAATATTTAAGCACACTTAGTGTTTAGACTCTAGAGGGACACATAAAAAGCTATTTGAGGTTTTCTGGTGTGTAGAGGAGCTCTCTCCTGCTTTTATCAGGGGAAAAAAAGTCAAACTTTCCACCATTTTCTGTGCAACACGTTTCACTTTGCACTCAGACACCGACACAGAGCCTCGCTTTGTATTCAACAGCATTCTTTCCTTATGAAGGAAAGCAAAGGTTCAAATGGATTTGAGTGCGAACATGTGGACAGGGTAGAGCTCACTTAATTGTTCCCTTCCCTAATTTGGTTTTCCCTTATTCCTGCCTTTCGGTGCCAGACGATGATGGTTTTTTGTTTCATCTGCAAAGCGAGATCATCCACGCCTGATGTCCGTATTCAACAACAAGACCACCCTCGACTACAACAGAAAACTCACTCCAGATTTCTAGCTTTCTCTGGTCATACGGGCTCTGGCTGATGACTTCAGACACTAAGTAAGAGGGAAGGAGTGGAGGAGGGAATGCAGGGAAATTTCTTCTGAGCTGTTTTGACACCAAGCGTGACTCTAGGAGAAGTTCTCACCTCTTTCTTTACAGGGTGGCGAAATCCCTCAGCGGCTGAGCGGCTGGACTCCAAGGATGCTGCCTGTTCCTGTTTAGCCTTCATCAGATCTGCTCTTTGGGGCCCTGGCAGCTAATTAGTGATCCCATTATTCACCTCTCTGTCTTTTGTTTTTCCCACTTTCAAAAGCGTACAGAAACGTCGGACAGAATATGTGTCGACTGCTCAGATGGAATGAATCTAAACTCCAAGCGGCCGCCTTGAAGCCGAGAAATAATGAGAAAAAAGTGTCATGCTGATGATTTCGAGGTTCAGTGACCCCCTATGTTTGAAAAAACTGAAGATCTTTGCATTTTGCTATCAAGCAATGTAGTCGTTCTTATTTTCCTGAGGGGAAAATGAACATTACTTTCTTTAACAAGAAAGAAAGTAATGGGAATTTATATAAAGTATTTTAAAAATATTTTAAAATGAATGGATTTGCTTAATATAAAAATGTTATTCGTGTTCTTTAAAGCTTGAAAAAGATTATTGCCAATTTATTTACAAAAGTTCTTTGTCTTAAGGAACAAAAAGTACAGAAGTACTTATGATTTAAAAAGTAAAACTGTGTGTAATGCTTTCAAGTAAATGTGAATTTTGGTGTGAAACTATGGAAAGTTTGGTGGATAGAAAAAAGTCTTCACTATAAATCAACTGAACATCTTTTCAGTTCCTCCAGGATTTTGTGATTCTTTTTGTCATTTTTTTGCAATAAGAATCAAAGTGTTTGTTGAACTAATTTGGAAATATTTGCGCTTAAATATGATAGTAAATTCAACTTTTTATCTTTTTCTATATAGATCATGAATTATAATATGACATCAATAAAGGCTGAGGAAGCTGTTTAGTACAAGTAAGAAAGTTTTTGACAATTTGAGAAAAATCTGCAATAAACTCCCAATTGCATATTAATGCAAAATTTGTTGTTTTTATGTGAATTTCCTTGATAATTCTCAAGAAACTGGAGGAACTGTTTGATATAATTCAGAAGTAAACAGCTAAAAACTGCATTAATTAGATTGATAACATATTTAATCTCACTTAGTGTTTGGTGGAGAATCCAGAGGGCCACATAAAAAGCTATGGCGGGCCAGATTTGGCCCGCAGGCCTCGAGTTTAACACCTGACCTAAAGCATTTTGAACAGATAAACTCGACATCCTGCCTTCTCCATTTGTACTTCAGTTCCTTTACACTGAACTGAATTAAAGATGCAAAAATTAGTAGAAAAACTTGGTAGTTTGAGTCAATAAAACAAACATTTCATTGTCACTTTCATTGTGAAGAGATCCGGTTCTGATCGGTCCCGGTTCCAGTTCCTTTCCTCAGCAGCCATGCAACCTGTGAAACACAGTTTGAGCCTGAACTCATAACAGTCTTAGTGTATTCACATTCATAACTTTATTTGACCAATAAACTTAATTTACTAAATTTTACAGAGGCTGTTCCAGAAATTGTGGTTTTGAGCTGCAGCTTTTACGAGCTTACAGTTTACTGGTTTCTGCATGAGACTCCAGAAAATGTTAAACTGGGATAAAACGGCTCGCCTTGACGGCTCTGATGTGGACACCGTCCTCCTAAATCATGGGAATCTCCTTAAAGAACAGAAAGATTTATTCCAAAAGATCGTGGCCAAGAATTTGGCTCACCTAAAAAAAGGTTTGAAGAGGGAGAAATAGCATGTGATGGTGACATGTTTGATCAGTTTGTCAGTGGTTAATTAAAGCCATGCGTCCCTTTTTTCCCCCCCAAACCTGAGTTATGTTAAATGACTGAAGGAACCCTGACGCTGTCTTTAAGGTATGCGAGACATTTCTTAAAGAGAATCTGGCCATCTGAAGTGAGCATGAACTCATCTGATTCAAAACATTTAACAGTTTCTTCCAGTCGCATTTCTATTTTCACATATAAACAATAAAAAACACAAGACGGATAAAAAAGGAGCTTTGCAGGAGAGGTGAATATGCACCACCTCAGCTGTGACAAGAAACAATTCAAAAGTCATGTATCGTTTGAAGTTGTCATCAATTTGAAACTTTTTCTTAAAGAATGACTGAAGAGGTTTCTCCAAAATAAAGACGCTCAATATTTAAATGTACTTTGTTGTGCAAAATGTATGTAAAGCTTCGCCAATATTCTGCTTCTGTTGAAAAAAAACTGCTTTCTTTTTAATAATAA